GCCTCTGTCCCGCAGATATGGAGAACGTCATTTGTCAGACCAGTCTACAAAAACGGCGATAGAAACAACGTTGAAAATTACCGGGGTGTTGCTTTACAGTGTATTTTGTCAAAAATTCTCGATTCGATCGTCACAAACCATCTCAATCTATATTTGAAAAACATAATCCACGAAATTCAACATGGATTCATAAAGAACAGGTCTACGATAACAAATTTAGTTGAATTTACTTCAAAAACAATTAATAACATGGGGAGAGGACATCAAACAGACGCCATCTATTTGGACATAGCCAAGGCTTTTGATTCGGTCAACTTAAAATTGCTTATTCAAAAACTAGAAATCATGGGACTGAATGAACAGCTGTTAAAATGGATCGAATCTTACTTGTCTGGTCGCAGACAAATTGTAAAGATAGCAGATACCAAATCTGACCCAATCAAAGTTACATCTGGGACGGGTCAAGGATATCCAATTGGCGCTACTTTGTTCATCATGTTTATTATTGATCTACCATTCGTCGTTAGCGATTCTTGTATACTTTCATTCGCTGATGATACAAAAATTTCAAAATTTATCTCCTCAACAGATGATTGCATTAATCTACAGAATGACTTGGATCGTGTAGCAGATTATTATGGACGCAATTTATTGAAGTTAAATGTAAACAAAACAAAGATCATATCATATCATCGGGGATCACTGCAATATGAATACAATTACAACATAGGCGGCGTTCAAATAGAAAGAGTCTTTGTAATAAGGGACTTGGGAGTATTGCTTGATGGGCAAATGAATTTCAAATCACACATTGAGCATGTCACGGCTAAAGCAAAATCAAGATTGGCTTGGCTAAAGTTCTACAGCAAGGATTTTATTGACCCATGGACAATTAAACGCCTTTATTTTACATTTGTATTACCAATTATAGAATATGGATCAGAAATATGGAATCCACACTACGACAATATGTGCAAAAAAATAGTGTCAGTACAAAAACAATTTTTACTTTTTGCGCTAAGGAGAATGAACTGGGACAGCTATAGACTTCCTAAATATGAGCATAGACTCCTGTTTCTACAAATGATTACGCTTGAGGAGAGACGCGAGATGGCGCAGGTGTCTTTTATATTCAAAATTATTAATGGAGATATGAAGTCGAGCCATATATCAAACAGTTTAAATTATTATGATTCAGCGCATAATACCCGTGCAACGCCGCTTTTTGATATACCGATTAGAAGAAGCGATTACACGAAGTATGAACCAATTAATTACATGCTTACTACATTCAATGATTATTATACGAAAAAAATACCAAACAGTGATACTACTTTAATTGATTTAGAAGTAAATTTATCAACAGTCAAACTGAGAATTGAAAAATATTAAAAAATATATAGATAGAATTGAATAGAAAACATACTGAGAAAACTATTAATCTCCTTCTAAACTACTAGATGTAAGAATATAATTATTTTGTATTTATTTAAAATATATTCAATAAACCACCAAGGCGAAGGAACGCTGTTCGGTGCAGTTATTATTATTATTAAAGACCTTCTTTAATTTATTTGTTATTTCGGGGGTGTATGGCATGGTTATGCGTTTACGCTGTTTTGTAAAGTTTTGTATAGGAGGCACCTTTATTTTTGGTTGAAATTTCATGAAACTTGGTGATATTACTTATTTTGGTCAGAAAATAAGATACACAAGTTTTCATGGTGATTGGGTCACTGCAAATTTTCATGATTTTCCAGTAAAATGTACATCCTTTCCTTTCAAGTCGCTGTCTTATATGGAACCGCAAGTTGAAAATTTCTTCATATCTTGAATCTGAGGACTATAAGACATGTTTTCTGAAATGGCCATAAAATTGTGCCAAAAATGTTCCACCCTACTATGGAATGCTGCTTTTTTATGGGATGTAGGACAGTGTGAATCGAAAGGGATGTAGCATGGTGTGTTACTGGGTTTTTTATAAACTCTTAATTCAATCGAACCATCGGTTTTGTGTGAAATCCGAACGTCTAAAAATGGTAATGACTTATTCGTTTCCAGTTCAATTGTGAAACTGATGGTTGGTTGTTGTGAATTTAATAACGCCATAATCTCATTCTCCGTCCCCCTTTCGATAACTGTCGCTACATCATCCACATATCTCCAGCAAATTCTCGGTAAATCATTTTCTTCTTTCAATTTCATTTCGAAATTCGACATGAACAAATTTGCAAGAAATGGTGAGAGTGCATTTCCCATGCATGTGCATGACGGCTCATTATATTTTTGTTTTTATTTTATTTAATTTATTTTCACTTATTTTTAGATTTTAATATTGTTGAATATTTAAATTATCCAAATTCAGGTAGAATTTTAAAATTGTATATATACTATACATGTACATGTATTTATATATTTAAAACAAGGGTATGGCATGCTATGTAAAATGTTGGCGAACAAAAGCCTTACAAATTTGTCGGAATAAACCTTATAATTCTATGAACAAAATTACACAAATATGAGATAGTCAATACGAAATTTGTAATTCAGATTCTATTCGATAGATGGCGTTACGGTTTGGCACGTCGCCATGTCCTTCATATACGTGCCATTCACTTGATTTAAATAAACCACCAGTTGAAGGAACCCTGCAGTCATTATTATTGTAAAGAAATTCGGTTTTCTCACTCCAAAAAAATTCCACTACACATTTTTACAACAGTCTTTTCTTGTGAGTTTCTTTGATTTTTTGTGAAAAGATGATAAATCATCAAAAATCATGCGCAAAAAAGTTTTGCACAATTAAATGTAAAGTTTTTTATTGAATATTTTCTAGAATTTTTTGGGTACTGCTCATGTTTGTTCCATGTTTTATTATATTAAAGATGGTTTTATCACAGTGTATAGATTTTTTCACTTACCGGAATGCTTCTTTCTGGCTTTAATTTCTGTTGAAAATAATAAAACAACAAAATGTTAGAAAAATAATACAAAAGTCACAACAAAATAAATAAAACGTGACATTTTCATTACTAATGACTTGGTTTGGATAATATTTATGATTATGGTTAAAAAAAATTGACATACGAAAATCTTTCGTAGAATTATAAATTTCTTGTACTTACTGCTAAAAGTTGATGCCGAAACTGACTTGGTGCTTTGCTTACGATTTGAATTGGTTGAAATATAATCCAAAGGTTTTCGACCACAATGATCTAGAACATCTCGGTTTGCCTCTATAAATATAAATATATTGTATTTTCCTTTTTTTAAATTTTCACTGAAGAAATTCCTTAACAAACATTTTTTGTAAATCTTTATTTCGTATAATCTCTATAGAAAAAACTCCCTCGAAAATGTCAACATTTGAATTTATGTGGGACAAAAATCTTTATTTTTATATTTTCTCACTAAAAGTCGAACCAAACTGAAATTTTGCAAATCGAACATGATGATTAGACTGTTGACGTTTTTGAGAATCATAAAGTGGTCACTAAAATTTGACACCATTTACTTGGTTCGTTTTGCAAAATTTCATTTAAGTTCGAATTTTAGTGACAAAATCGATATATTGACATTTATGTCACACACGTTGTATTACAAATTCAAATGTTGGCATTTTGTGAAGTCACAAATTAGTCACTAAATCTATGAAGAATTGGCCAATAGGCAAAAAAATGGCTAAAAGTAACCGAAGTTCTATCCCAATCGCCAAATTAATAGAGCACAAATTGTCAAAAATCGGTCTCTAAATACCTAGATAGTTTGCAAGGCATTTGCAAAAAATGTGGATAGGGGGAATTTCCAATTGAAGGGAAATGATATTGAAAACTAATATTTTTACAGAAGGCCAAATTGGTGGTATTCGCGATCCCGACCACAGCACCCCATTTCTACGTAAATTGCGCTTAAACCCTTTTGTCCTTCATTATCACACGAGCAAGTGTTAATTGCGGGAAATTTATGATGCCAATCGATAGTGCTTTGTGAAACAGTTTAGGTGTAGGAAGGGGTCTGGAAACTATCTCCACTCCTAAATCCTTAAATCAAGGTAGGAAGTTAATTTAAGTAACAACAAAAATTGAGGTTATCGGATGATACCACTGAACCCAAATGGGGTGAACATTTTTTGAATTTCTTTTCCATCATTAATTCGATGGATAGAACTACCTCATAGATAGAACTACCTAACATTATTTAGCTAAAGATAATATGTACACTGCGTCTGGTACACTGAATATTTTGTACAATTTTGCCATTTTCAGATGTTTTCGCCAATACATGATTTTTATGGTTTTAAATTATTTTAGGTCGCAAATCTGACAGTCACATAATTTGGGTTGCATCAATGACTAAAGTAAGATAGCCTAAAGTAAAGTTTAAATTCAATAGATGGTACAGTTCATTGGAAAAATTCAAAAATTACGATTTTCAATATATTCATTTTTATACAAAAATAGTGAAAATCTAAGGTTCAAATGGTACAAATTTGTGCTACCCAACATAAACAGTGACAACCATAATGAAGTTTCTGCGTTGCCCAGCTGTCATTGTCGTCGTGCTTTGATGAAAACGTTATTTGAAAACTTTATTTTTCATAAACTAACATTTTTTCAAACGCAAATTCAATTATTCCTATTAAAAATTGAAGAATTATTCATATTACGAGTAATTTTTTGCTTTTAAAAAATTGTTCTCATTGTTGAACATTGTTTTCATATTACTGATTCCCATTATTCACCAAGCGTGATTTAGATTATAACAAATAGTTTTTTCATGACTCGCAACAAAAAATAATACATTAGTAATACCGAAAATATTATTATTTAAAAACTTATTGAAGCGTATGTTATTGGAAAACGACAAAAACGAATGAACTGGTTTTACTTACTGTAAACATTACAAAGTAGTTCAAAAATATTATCTTTGCCAAATAGAACTGCCAGATGCAAAGGCGAGTATCCCTGAAACGTAGATATTTTTTTTTTAATTAGTCGGATGCTTGAAATTTAAATATATATTTTTGAATTTGGAAATGTCTTAGAGAAACCAAAACTATTACCTAAAATTAGTTATTAAAATTAGTATTAAAAAAATAAAAGAAAGTTGCCCATTTATGTTTTAAATACTTCTAGATTGTTGAAAATCAAAGTATTTATTTAGGTAGGAAATTAATATCTATATCATTTAAATGTTTAGACTATTTGTACTAGAATTTGTATTAGTTTTTATTGTTTAATGATTTCACACATGCTAAAATTAACAACAGTAAGAACGGTCCTATAACAGCGCCACTGCTGAATGTAATATGATGGTAGTAATATCGAGTAGTTCCAAAAAGACCTGTCGTATTCATTCACAGCGCACCTTATTATGGAACAGATATTTTAAAATGTATGTGAAACTATAGAACTCAATTTATGGATGATGATTTCATTCGCTGATGATAAAAAAATTCCAAAATGTATCACCTCAACATATGACTGCATTAATCTTCAAAATGACTTGGATCGTCAACAAAACAAAGATCATATCATATCATCGGCGTTCAAATAGAAAATGTCTTTGTAATAAGGGACTTGGAAGTGTTGCTTGATGTGCAAATGAATTTCAAAGCACACATTCATGTCACGACTAAAGCCAAATCAAGACTGGCTTGGTTAAAGTTCTTCAGCAAGGACTTTATCGACATATGGACAATTAAACGCCTTTATTTTACATTTGTATTACCAATTATCGAATATGGATCGAAAATATGGAATCCACACTACGACAATATGTGCAAAAGAATAGAGTCAATACAAAAACAATTTAATAGTTAGTACTCACAGAAAAAGTGGAGACGGTTTTTCCGCAAATTATTGCAGAAACAGCAGAGCAGCACTAAAAACGTGTTTTTTTGTAGCTTATTTTGACAGCTCCGTACAAATGTGTGTATTTTGACGTTTGACATTATTTGTCATCAGTTAGACAAAAAATTAGAGTCAATGTAAGTATTTATTTTTTGAATAATTTTTGTAATGTCGTTTTTGCAAATTAAATATCCTCATTTTTGACACAAAAAAAAGTATTTTTAATAGCGTTGTTGTTGTTTTTGTTTTCTTTTGATTTATAAATTACAATGACATACTTGATGTGATGACATACGTATTCATTACAATACATAATGCACATTCATATTTTGTGTGATTCTGGAATCAATACATTTAAAAAAACATCATTGATGCAAAAAATCGAATATTTTTATCAATAGGTGCTTTTAGAATTAGATATATTTGGTAATATAATTTTTTTATTCTAATATTTTTTATTTAATACTTACATAAATTTCATTTTTATTAAATCGAAATTGTAAATCGGTTATTAGATTTTGTTCCATTTTGATTTTAAATTATATTAAAGGTCAATGATATTCGCATTTGGCTGTTAAGTACATGAAAGAATTCCGTTGAAATTTGAATTTTCAAATATTTATACATACCGAATACTCTTTGTTGTACCTAATCGGTACTTTGAGAGTATTCATTTCATTTGATGTACTCAGTCACCAAATTATCATGTGTTTTGGTTTATTTCAAACAAATTATTAAGAACATATTCGACATTTTATTATTATTTTTTAACTACAAGCAACTTAAATTTAGTTTTTTTTAATCATATTTATTTGAATTTTTTCTGTTTATTTGTTTGTTATATGTTTATCAAAATGTTCCAATTTGATGATTGAGAACATCAAATTTGATAAATAGTATATGAAAACAATGCGGTTTTGAGCGCCTAAAAATTATAAAATACAGATAAAATCGTAAATAGATAACACCTATGTAATTTTCAATACCAAATATATCTAATTCTAAAAGCACCTATTGATAAAAATATTCGATTTTTTGCATCAATGATGTTTTTTTAAATGTATTGATTCCAGAATCACACAAAATATGAATGTGCATTATGTATTGTAATGAATACGTATGTCATCACATCAAGTATGTCATTGTAATTTATAAATCAAAAGAAAACAAAAACAACAACAACGCTATTAAAAATACTTTTTTTTGTGTCAAAAATGAGGATATTTAATTTGCAAAAACGACATTACAAAAATTATTCAAAAAATAAATACTTACATTGACTCTAATTTTTTGTCTAACTGATGACAAATAATGTCAAACGTCAAAATACACACATTTGTACGGAGCTGTCAAAATAAGCTACAAAAAACACGTTTTTAGTGCTGCTCTGCTGTTTCTGCAATAATTTGCGGAAAAACCGTCTCCACTTTTTCTGTGAGTAGTAATTACGATTCAGCGCATAATACCAGAGCCACACCGCTTTTTGATATACCAATTAAAAGGAGCGGATACACAAAGTTTGAACCGATTAATTATATGCTTACAACATTCAATGATTATTATACAAAAAAGATATCAAACAGTGATACTAATTCAATTGAATTAGTTTGTCTTAGATTTTATCCGTGATTTTGTGTATCAGTTTTTTTTAAAATAATTTTGTTTATACCTAATAATAACAATGACTGTAGCGTTTGGTGGTTTATTTGGATGGACAAATATTTTATGTATATAATTTCAATTTTCTTCAAAATTATGGTTAAAGGAAAATACTTTAATTTTTAGAATTTTTTTTCAATTGAATTAGAAGTAAATTTAGCAACAGTTAAACTGAGAATTGAAAAATATTTAAAACAAAATAGATGGGAATGATAACATCATTGAAATTATTTATAAAAAATAATAATTATTATTTATCTCTTTCAAAACTGCTTGATGTAAGAATTTGTTTATATTGTATTGAGACTAAAACTTAATAACGGGAATTTTTTGATGAAAAATGAAGGTTTATTTAAAGGAAAATGTAAAATATATTTTATTCAAAGTACTGTCCATCGTTAGCCACTACTTTTTCCCATTTCTCTGGAAATTTTCAGATTCCATGTCTAAAGGACTATTAGTTTTTTCCAATGAGCGCTAATATTGTCGATTTTTCTTTATCGATTCCACCAATACGACATCTACTAAAAAACTCGCCGATTTCTGTTACTAGTGGTGTTTTAATACAGCTCGTGTAAACGTACAAAGGAACACACTGACTCCGATTCTGTGTATGCGTATGTATTACAAATTCTGCACTCAGTCGTCAATCGTAGCTGCTTGTGCAAAATTTACAATACATACGCATACACAGGATCGGAGTCTGTGTGTTCTTTTGTATTAGTTCGTCTGTAATACAGCCATAGCCGTATAGTTCGCTCGAGCTGTGTCAAAGCAACAGTAGTAACAAAAATCGGTATCTTTTTTAACAGATGTCGTATTCGTAGAATCGATAAAATTAATTTGTATGGGGAATATACGATACTACTTCCCATCGGTTTTTTCAGGTATCTAATGACCGAGTCATTTTTCGACATTTATAAAGTTTGCACATAATTGATCAGAAACGGTGCACTACATCCATTGAAATGAGTGGTATTCAGAAAGAGGGATGTCCAGTGAGTACAGCTATTGTGAGTATAAAGATTTTTTATCGATCTATTTTTCAAACAATTTTTAATGATTTTGCAAAAGTGAAAAAATTCACTTTTTTAAAAATTTAGATAATTGAATTTTTCTACAAGTTTATTTTAATTTTTCTGTTACATTTCAACCAAAAACGATCAGTCGACATCAATAAAGATCATCTGTAACAATTTTGACCAGTTGTAATTCGATCAAGTTTGATTACGTCACCCAATTGGCAGAATCACGAATTTTTGGATTTCACGCCGATTTTTGTGATTCAGCTCAACTTACATATGGTTTTTTATGCTTGAAATTCTTGAAATAGATCCCTCCTTTACAATCAATCTCAGATCAATATGAAAATGAATCCATTTGTAAATTTGGAGCGACCTTTGATTAGTCTTGTACTGCCATTCAACCAAATTTTCCTTCAGTTCGAATTCGCTACAATTTTCACCACTTTCAGGAAATGTAAATATTTGGTATCAATCGCATTGTTCGTATTTAGTCAATCCACAACTTTTACATGCATTTAACATAGACTTTTTAGCAAAAATGATTGAAATAATTCAACTTGAAATTTTTTGGTGAATTTGGAGTTTTTCACCAGATTCACCACTCAGTGTTCACCAAACTCAACATTTTTGTGTTGGAATCGACAGATCTTGTTAATCTCAATGCAACATAACGTTCAGATGCATTTCTGATTAAAGTAAAGAGAAAAAAATTAAATTGCAAATGCTGTTTTTTTCTCGAATTATCAAAATTTTCCATGGTTGAAAAAAAAAATGTTGCGCTGAAGATAAAATATTTGTTTTTACTGTTTTGACAGCTTTTGAATGACGTTTATTCCATTGATATACTACGACACAATTACAAGTTGTGACAATTGGCATCAAATTCCCGTTATTAAGTTTTAGTCCCAATATTTATTTAAATTATTTTGAATGAACCACCAAGGCGAACGAACGTTGTTCGGTGCAGTTATTATTTTTATTTTTTGACATCACAATTTTTGAGTGTGTTATCTTTTTTTTTCTTTAATTCATTCCGTTCGCGGTGGCAACATTATTGCATTTAAGACTGCGTATTTGATGTCAGAATTTTTTTCAAAGTGACATTATCGAAATGTCATGGCTCTAGCGAACTAGTCCTTTAATAAACTGGAGCACAATGAGCTCGAAAAAAATTCTGATAGAGAAATATTGCTGTAGCCATATAATTCGCTAAAGCTGGGAGATTTTGATGATGTCGCTTCATAAAATTTTCTGTCATCATACAAGCTAAATATAGCGTAAATGCTATACTGTAGCCCATCGGTTCATCGATTATGTTCTCCAACAATATTTTATTTGTTTTTAAGAACATTTGGCAATATTTGCAAAAATATAAAAATTAAATAAAAAAAGACTGGAAACAATTGTCATTGGCGTATAAAAACAAACCTTTTATTATTTTCAATTTGAAAATATTCAGTACTTCTTTGTTAGCCGCTCGAATGCACATGCGGTCTATGTGGATATATATAAAACTTCGTTTACATAATTTAATCAGGCTACTGGTTATGCTATTTTAATGTAAACATAGTTGAAATTTAATTCGTTTAAACGATAAATATGTTCTTCTTTGTATACATTTTGAATTTTCATAAATGTTCATTATTCCGTGTTTGCGTATATCGTGCATGAAAATTTTAAATGCAAATTTGTATTGCAATGCCTCAGTGGGGAATATAAAAAAATACTAAAAAACATTATAGAAGAACATCTAAAAAAAACATCAATAATAACAATTATGGAATCGAAGCAAAAAATGCGAAAAACAAATGCTTACATTTACGCATGAAAAAAGTAAAATATTTAGATAATTGGAAATACATATTTATATCGTATAAATACAAAGCCATGAGTACATGCATGTTACTCCGAGAGATAAATTGTGATAAATACGAGAAGAAGAAAAAGAAAGAACCAAAACATTTAAAAGCAACAGTAAACAAACTTTCAATAAAAACATCGACGGATGGAGAAAGAGAAAGAAACTGAATAACTATAACTATTTTGAGTACATTGTATCATATGTAAATATTCGAGAAACTTCCATACAAGAAATACATATTTCGCACTTATTCACTTAGTTTTTTCACATTGACTGAACTACTATTGTTTTAAATTTCACATCATTTAAATGAACAACTTTAATTAAAATGTTTTAATTAGTATTCTCATTGATTGGAGTGCTGAAAATATTATTACATAGGCCGTTTCAATAATATACTTATTATACACTTGTTATATTTTAGATTTCACTTACCCCATTCTATATATTGATTTTTTTCGATTTTTTTAATTTTGCAGAAACAGACACATGTAAACGAAATTATTATTAACAAATTTGTAAACATTATTAAACAAACTAAATAGTTACCGTCTTGGAATTTACTTCGGCCTTATGAGAGCCAGCAATGAGTTTAACAACGTCTTCATTTCCACTAAAAATAAATGCAAAAAATTCAACAATTACAAATAGATTAAAAATGTATAAATTTGTTGTGACAATAGAAGTACTTACAATTTTGCAGCCCAGTGTAATGCCGTCTATATAGCAAAAATAAAATCAAATCAATAAAATATACTTTTTCCAAACAAAGAAAAAAAATATGAAAGAAAAAAATTAAATGATACAGATTTATATTGGCCATAAAGATGGCCAATTATAATTGATAGATTAGTCAAATGGTTGAAAGTAAAAATTACTATTCTTTATTATACATAGTGTTTCAAAATTCAATTTTAAGAAAACTACAATTTCCTCCTATTCATCCAACTTTTTCTCTTAATAATTTGAAATCAGGTATATTATAAAATTACGACAGACAGATAGAAGAGAGTTGTGATAGAAAAATATTTTCATTTGTAATTTGTTTTGGAATCTGAAGAATGAGGTCTATGGAAATAAATATTCAAGACTAAAAAGTGACGATGAAAAAAATTTATTAAGTCATGATGAGATTGCTGCCTCTTGTAAGAAAATTGTCTATGATAATTCGTCTCTGGAATGCAGAACAATTCAACTAACAAACAAAAATGAAATAAAAAATGCTAAATCTGTAGCACCCTAAAATATTGTCAATTGTCTCCACTTTGTCAGACTCTGGAAAGAATGTTGTCTGTGATTTTTTTCAACTCTTAATATTTTTTTTGTGTTCGCAATGAATTTCCATGAATTTCAGTGAATAAGCGAGATTTGAAATTGACAGTGAAAAAAACTTTTCGTACGTAGATGGATATCTCACTATATATTGAAATGTATCAAAGCAATTCGCATAAACTTTTTCATTGATTACCTTCCGTTTTTTCATAATTGATTTGTTGATTAAAATCATGACGAGTTTTATCTTTCGTGACACAAATGTATCAAATTGTAGAAATGCGTGATTGTGTCGTGAAAGTAGAAAAACGATTATTGATTTTATTATATTATTATTATTCTGGCATAGATTGAAGCGTGTGATGTTGAACACATGGTGTCACAACCATGCATATTAATGTATGTAAATATGAAGGACATTTTTTATGTTTTAATTGTTATAATAACAAAATCTGATAAAGTAGGAAGCAATTATTAATAATCGATTATTACGGCCAGGTTTGTCTTAGATTTTATCCGTGATTTTGTGTATCAGTTTTTTTTTAATAATTTTGTTTATACCTAATAATAACAATGACTGTAGCGTTTGGTGGTTTATTTGGATGGACAAATATTTTATGTATACAATTTCAATTTTCTTCAAAATTATGGTTGAAGAAAAATACTTTAATTTTTAGAATAATTCAATTATCTTATATTTTTAAATATTCTTCATTTCTCTTTGAATTTGGTATTTATAAATAACGATATATTTTGTTTAAAGTAATTTTCAATTCTTCACTCAACTCTTGATTGAAAATTCAATTAATTCGGTTGCAAAAAACTTTTTGAATTGACTGAAGTTGGCTGAAATTGAAGCCAAAAAAATATAATAAATAAAATATTGAATAAATTTAACTAAAAGCGTCGTAAAATCTATGAAAAGACTGATGTATGTTACTCATATGTTAAGTGAAACTTATTAACCAAGGTATTTATTTGTAAATAGTATTATGAAGTTTGATTTATGCTATATAGTGTGATTTTTATTAATTAATTCATATTAATAATTATCAAGATGGTATTTCCATATATTTCAATGTTTTTCTGATATATGAATATAAATTCATCAAAACAGATTCAGTACGTCTGTTGAAAATGGTTAAAATAATATTATCTTTAGTTTAAGGGTTTTTTTCTGACATTACTATCAAAAACAATGATTCACGTTTTTGAGCAATTTCATACAAAAGAAAAATTCGAAGGAATTACTAATAATCACGATAACAATTCTAGTAGCGAATAAGTCGGTGAAAGAGAATAAGAAAACCAAAGAGAAATAATCTTGATACAAATTTGTGACATGAACAATCTAAAATGGCCAAGTGGAATGAATTGATCATGTTCACGCCATGTATTTGCATTATATGAGGGAATAAAGCAGCGAAAATGTGCAATTCACACATGCGACTTCAAGCAGTGGAGATATATAAATGTTTGTTATTTTAAAGAGATTAAAAACTGATTTGTTACACTTAGTGAAATCGTTCACTTCATTGTTTTAGCCAGCAATTCATCAAAAATCAATAAAGTAACAAATATCGAAAAAGTTCTCACCTACTAGTACACTAGCAACTGTAAAAATATGTTATCTTATCAATTTTATAGCTGGTTTTTAATATAATCATTTTGAACACATCTCAAAATGATAAACCAATATATGGTATTACCGAGAAAGAGCATCTATCTATAGCAGATACAGTGTTTCTAGTTGATGCAGACCATTTTCATTGCCATAGATAGATATTGTACGCATAAATAATGACCAGAGTAGATTGTGTTTGAAACGGTGGAAAATAGTAAAGCATTTACGCTTGTATGATTACAGAAAATTTTATGAAGCGACATCATCAAAATCTCCGCAAATTTCAACCGCACTTTGTTGGGAGTAGATTTACAGAATATAGAAAAAAGAATTACTCTTTAATTGAAAGAATTGGAATCTCCCCCAAAGTATTTTTAATCAACTGACACATGATGATAAAGAAATCTTATTGTAATTTAACTAAAATACTGAATCGTTACATCAATAAAATGCAAGTTGAACTATAAAGCATGTATTTCATTGGAAATAAACTATTTTTGAAAAATATACTATACAACAAATATCATTTTGCAGTGATTTCAAAAGTATTTTGGTTCGGTAACTATATATTGGTTGAGCTAAAGAAAGGAATATTTATGAAAAAAAGTTACAAAAAAGAATTTTAAAGAGTCACAAACCATATTAACCCATATATTATACTAATATCAAGAAAAATTCTCAAATAAGATCTAAAATGAATCGAATTCAAACTGATAAAACAATGGACAAACTTAAGGAGAGAGCGGCAAAGGAGATTTACTGACAACAGCAAAACGAAAAAGGAATAACCGAAAACGCATTCACACACATTATTTTATATATATAGCTAATACCTTCGTGTTCACTCTATAGAGTGTGCCTTATAAACCAAGAATCATTCATTGTTCGCGTCTGTGTACAGAATCGATCTTATCTACTATTCCATCTACAAGCAATTTATTATCATCATGGAAGACTATCACTTAACTCAAAGGGCCATAGCAACCTGTTAGTATTAACATGGGACTGAATGTGTGTAAGTTAACATAGTCAGATAAATATGTCGATTTAAAGAAAGAGAAGAAAGAAAATAAAAACGGAACTCTGCCGATGCTGCACAACATATTCACCTTTGTCGACTCTGAATTCGGTATATTTATTACGGCACAACGCGCAGACTAACAAGTAAGAAAATATGTTAAAATGAGTTTTTCTCGTCGTTTTTTGCTTTTATAGTTTGTAAAGATTCCATGTACGCGCGTAAAAAGCAAGACTATGCCGATTAGTGGTTTGTCTGTCGATGTAACAATCATGCTTGATTATCAGAAATGGCATGCTGTATCCTACACAAAGATACACCTATTAGCCAAATGAACAGGCATTTTTTCTACTTACTGGACTGATTTGCAAATGTATTATTTTTACATTGAGTATAAAAATTTTGGAAATAAAAAAGAGACAAAATTGAAATTTTATAAAAATATCGACTTACACATAATAAATTGGTCCCATAAATTGGGATGGTCAGAATTCAAAGTATGCATTATGTTATGCTTAAGCAAAGTATCTGCCAAGTAGTATATACATGTTAGATTGACATAAAGGAAAAACATTTTTCATAAAAATACTTTGCATCAATGATTAAATAATTGAGGGAGTTGCTCAAACAAACACTTTCAACCTTGAAAAATGATATGGAATTTCCAAACAGTACAGTCTACTGTAATATAATTTAAAATTTTAATCATAATTGATTATTAGTTTTTGATACACAAAAACTCACATACATTCTTGTTTTTGTGTATTGCGACGTTATATTTCAAGAAACAAAAAAAAAGATTGTCCCACTCATTCTCGGACATTCAATAATATATTATTTCAGATAATTTTTTAATATACTTACATACTGTTGTCAACCATCCACGGATGCGTTGTCCAAAAACCGGCAAAAAAATATAAATCAATGAACATTATATTGGAATAGAAATTATTGAACAATTTGTTTCTACTGTGCTCAAAAACAGCGAAAAAACAGTTAAAATACACATTAGAAAAATTAACTATCATGTTGTTTAATCTATTATATCTTATATAGAGATTGATCAATTTGGAATATTTCAAAGTGTTTAACTTCTTTTCCTTTTCATATTTCAAATAATAACACCTGCCCTTATGCTCAACACGCAACTCTTATTATGACTCTTTTGCGGCTGCTACTATAATCATGCATTTTCCCTTCAAATCGTTATACATTATAATTACATGATATGTTAAAATTTATTGACTTATTTCGCATTATTACACTTTATGAAAATCGCTCGATAAATCTATCATAAATATTGAGCAATTGGTACTCACAAATTGTCAGACATGACAATACCAAATGTCGAAAACCAAAAAAAAAAAAACAATATTTATTTTGTTACCCTAACTTAAATCATGATTTTTCATTATAGAAGACGATTTGTTTATTTATTTAGATCACAAAAAGTTATAAAACATATGCTCTTCTTCAATGAGGTTAAATATTAAACCAGAATTTTTTTTACAAAACTAGTTACATTCTTATGATATTTATTATTATCAATGACATTTGATTTTAACTATCCTTTGTGGTCTGAACTGCAACCCTTAATTTCACATTAAGATATAATTCAACATTTTTATCACAAAATTGCTCAAAATCTATAAAATCAATTTTTTTTCGGAAAAATTGATAAAAAACACAATATACTCTACAAGGAGAAAAGTGCTCAGGGTTTATAGTTCAGACCACGGAGAATAGTATAAATGTGTTAACTCTTTTGGTCAAAATTCCGCGGGTTCCATTTAGAAAAATGTAATCTAACCACCCTATTATTCAATCATCTATATTTTCTTAATAGGCTACAAGTAAATAAGCTATTCAATGAAACAAATAATTGAAAAAAAAAAACACTATCACGATATAATATTAATAATATATTACTGAAGAAAGTGTACACAAATGTAAAGTAAATGAATTTAAATAATTGTAATAATAGAAATGCATCGAAGATATACCATCCATGCAGGTGACAAATGTATTATGTATGTGCATATAACATGGACGTTAAAAGGAAAATTTGAAAATTTCAATTGATTTCGGCACGCATATCGAATTAAATTATGTTTTTTTTGTTAATCGTCAAAACTTCTATCTATTTATGAATGCTCTTACTACTTTTTTTAAATCAAGCTAATTATAAATGTATTATTTTACTTACACCCTTTTCGTATGTTCAGCAAGAATATAGTATACATTTATATACATTTGTAGTTCATTTTATATTATCCGTTGTGCAGTCATCGATGTGAACATAAATTATATACCATGAAAGGAAAAAAAATTATTAGACTTTTTCATAAGTTATATAGAAGAAAAAGAATAAATCCACATATTTTAACCTAAAAACCGTCCATTGGGCCCGAGCAAAATTTCAAACTAAAATTAAACCATTTTTTTCATCAAACATCACTAAAACGATAGAAATGGCCGGCAAAAAAAAGATGGTTATTTCGTCTTTGGGGCACTCAGTGCCCGATGTATATTTTCATATATTTTGTATGGGAAAATGACTGAATTGTAAAAAATGTTTGTGCAAGAATAAATCGATTTGTGTATCTATTGTTCTCATATACAAAGATATATACTAAGCATCCCAGATCGCCCGTATAAATCCGGGATCACCCGGATTTTCGATTCAAAACCCGGACGAAAAAACGCCCGGCCCGGATACCCGGATATCGTACAAAAGACCCTTTTGCCCGGATTTTTTTGAAAAAAATCATTTTTTTAATTCCAATAATTTGTATTAGCATTTTTGATGAGAAACAAATTCTTTCGATTTGCTAGGGTTTTTTGTGGCAGTGTCTCACCTTACCTTAGTGATTGTTATAGGTATATAAGCTTGTTATATACTGGTATTACTATTACAATCACTTCTATTGTTTTCACTTCGCATCATCTGCTGACGGCATCCAGATGAGCTGAAATATCCAGATGACGGCAGCTGAACATCTCATTTTTCATTGAAAAGTTATTTTTTGTTAATATTTAAAGGATAAAAGGTTTAATGGTTGTTAATTAGTTAATAATGATTTTTTCTCCGCTCGCTCAAACTCGATAATTGAATTCATTATAATACGAATGCGCTACTTAAATGTCAGATTCGAAAATTTAAGATTAATTCACATGAACATTTATTTTGAAATAAAATTCTTGTTTATTAAAAGAAAGGGAGAGAGAGAGAGAGAGAGAGAGAGAGAGAGAGGGAGGGAGAGAGAAAGAGAGATTTAAATCCATTTTTGTATTAAAAATATTTGCCTTTTCTCGTTATACTTGTGATATTTTGATTTTATCCAACAGAAGTATGTTCATTTGATTATGATTATCCTCATTCTATTCCAAACAACAGTTTCAGAAACGATATATGAATATTTGTGTGTTGTTCCAACTTCAACTTGATAATCAACTAAATAATTATTGTTTTGGGTATATCTAATAAAGCGATAACTAGCTTGTATTAGTGCCGAAAATATAAACAGTAATTATAAATGCATTGGTTCCTTTGAAATTCCCATTTTTTAAGCAGTAATGTATGTTTCAACCTGACTCTTCACATCGATTATTTCGTTATTACAATTACATGCTCTAACAATTCTTACAACTAGAATTTTTTTCATGCAGGTAAGGTGAATTACATTAGAAGCATGTTTGTTGATATACATGATAATATTCACAATATTGTTGACGATGATGATGATCTTCAAAATAATGGACGTTTTTAGCAGAATTGAACCAATATTATTATTTTACGTGTTTGAATTCAGTTTTTAGTTTGCCTTTATATTATAATATTGTGATAAATAATAAATACAACAAGATAAAAATAACTTGTAAAAACTACCAACTTTTACTTCACGTTCTATTTAAGCAAGATAGCATTTTTTCTGTTAAGATTTAATCGAATACATTTTTACAGGTTTGGATAATATAGTAGATACCATAGTAAACATAAAAATCCATTCCATACTACGTCAATAATATCATCTTACCGTTGTTGGGTCCTGTGGAGAAGAAAGAAAATAAATAAATTATTAAAATTATTATGACTATCAACCCAGCTTAGATTAATAATGGAATTAAAACAATGAAATAACGAAGAACCATGTAGATAAACATAATGACGATTGTAAATTGTAATTGTTTACAAGTTAAAATGTAATTGTTTACAAGTTATAATAATGTAAATATTTCACCACCAGTTCTTTTTCAAGTCATAATTTTGCTTTATTCTAGCAAATTAAAAAAAATATTTTTCATTTTAAAGAACACTGTAGAATGGAGAAAAAATTCGGATACAATTCTGAGAAAATTACTGGTTTTCGGAATTCTCACTTTGACTAACTTACAATAATAATTTTTCATAATAGCCCGAAATTGAATTATCTTTATACAGGTTGTCTCATATAAGAGTCGGAGATATGGCTGGGAGTTTCGAAAAACTCTTGGGGGGTCAAAAATTTATTTTTTTGGTGGTCAAAAAATTCACTTTGTCAAATTATTCGAAAACGATCTGAAAAACGATGCCGATATTTAGTGCTTAATTGGTAATTATTAGTGATTAATACCATTTTTGCCAATTTTTTTTATAAAAACTCTTTGATTTATACCATTTTCTTTTTATCATTTCAACCTTTAATAGAAATATTAGATTTCGAGTTCACTATTGACGCACTGATTTTAAGCGGTATTGAGAGGCACCAATTAAGGTGAGTTTTCCTAAGAAATGATTGTAACGTTGGTTGTTAACGATTGTAGTCATTGTTAATTTTATTTATTTATTTATTTAATCACCGCCAAGAACTGGCTGAATTTATAAAGTTTTGGGGTAAAAAGAGTGCCCAAGGCCTCATTAAAAAAACCCATCTATTATACAAATTTATACACCATGAAAGTGTAGAGCATAATTATCGCAATTTCTTACATTATTTATCAGTCATGTGTACAAAAGAAAATTGTAAAAATACAAATAAGTTAAAGTATATAGAGTAGGGTGCCTCGTTTTTTAAAATGTATTATGTACACCCCCATAACTCATGTGGGAGGATCCCAGGAAAGCACCTGTAATGTTTTTTTCTCAAAAAAAATGCATGTAGAAATCGCGCATCGGACCCATCCGTATTCTTTCTAAATTTGTATAGGGGTCTTATGGGTATGAGAAAACCGAATCTGACATTTATTTTGCGAAAAAATTAAGTTTGGGTATACTTTCCATACAAAAGTTCATGTTTTTGGCCATTTGTTATCATTCTTGCTATTAAATAAGATGCAATCCATAATATTAAATTTGACGGCAGATTGAATGTATTGAGTTTGTCGATCAAAATAGTATGATTTACTCGATCGAAAGCCTTTGAAACGTCTGTGTATAATACATCCACCTGAGCTCCATCATTCAAACCACGTTGAACATAATGCGTAAATTCGAATAGGTTTGAAGCAGTAGATTGGCCTCTAATGAAACCATGTTGACTAAATGAGATTTTGTCGCGAACTAACTCAAACATATTTCTGTTGACTAGATGCTCGAAACATTTTGCGATAGTTGGTAATTTAGCGATGCATCTATAGTTGTCAATAAGTGATTGGGCACCTTTTTTAAATATGGGCGACACACTTGATCGTTTCCATTCATCTGAAAATATTCCAGAAGGAAGAGATTCATTAAAAATATCCGTTATTGGTTTAGCTAATGACAGAGCACAATTTTTCAATAATAACGGATGAATGCCATCGGAACCCGTTCCCTTAATAGCATCCGACAAAATCTCGTGTAGAATCGCAACGTTGGTATTAACTGACTTATTTTTGAAAATTTGGTCAAAGTTGATGCTAAGCAAAAAGTCATTCATTGACACGAAGTCGACCCGTTTAAAATTGAAAAGAGTGAGACTGCTTGAGACATTTTTAGCCGGATGCCATTCGAATTCAACCAAAAGTGGCGGGTGATATTCATCAACTTTTGTCAGTCGCTTTGCTAAATTAATAGTTGCATTTATGATATCGTTGGTAAAAAATAGGTCCAGCAGTCTTCCCATGTTGTTTTTGATGTGATTAATTTGCTCATGAGCCCCGTCAAAAAATCACCTGAAAAAGGTGGATCAAGGGTTGATGGAATCATAACATTGTTGTCATCGTCATCACGAATCCATTGAACTTTTGGCAAATTGAAGTCGCCCACAATAATGATTGAATTATTTGGATTAACATGTGTATAGAAAGTCCTTGAAATAAATTCAGACGTTGCCATTTGAACAACAAACACACAATATTAAATTGGTTTTTTTGGTATAAACCTTTATTCATAGGCTAAAGAATAGCACATTCACTTCACACTGAACGGACCATTATCTTAGATTTTTTTCAGTATGCGTCGAACCACCAAAATTATGTTCTGGACAACCTATTTGTCGATTTCTATCAACTTTCTCTCAATCCATCCATCTAATTGTTGCAAGTTTCAAGTATTTTGGACCTCCGCCTATAACACACATCCAAAAACAGACTAGAAATAATTAATTTGGTCTTTTTTTCTGAAGTTAAAAAGATGGTCCTTTTTTCATGGAAATGCTATTTTTCAAGAAGTGAGCCATTATTGTGGTTTTTTCTGCTTGCAAAGCATAATTATGTCTTTAATGAGATAGTTCACAACGAATTCTATCGATTTCAACAATATTTGGTTGATAATAGAGCAAGTAATGGAGGTTAACCTTACGTTTCAGCACCAAATTTTCGAATAATGGCTCTAAAACACCTTCCAAAGAAGATCCTACCATACAAACATCACTTTATCAAAGTTCGGTTTGTCGACGTCTCTAGCCCTATATAGTAGTGCCCTAATATAATCAATGCAAAAGACACCACTTGCACTTGATTTCTGGTTTGATATAGCAATGAATGTTTCACTCCCCAAAATGATGAATTTTTCAGTGCAAAATGCTTTGAGGTGAAGTAAGCACCCAATTTTTGACACCCTATTGAATTTTTTCATTACACATTTTGCTGATTCCTAATGATTGTGTCTAAATCTATTGTTTTGGTTCAAATTTGGATCTGCAAAAAATGAATGTTTGTTTGACCAACCCGGTTTTCGGTACTTGATAACAATTTCGAAAGGTTTGAGCACTCAGATTGGGAATAAGACCGTACTTTTTGCTTTCTCTAGAATCTTCATATTCATAATAAGTCCATGAAACATGATATATGGTTCGAAGACAGATTGATTCATCTTTAGACACATGCAGAATTTGTTTTGAACTTAGCTGTCCAAAACCATTTGAGACACTTTTTATGTGCATTGGTTGACATTTTGATTTCATTTTGTTTATGTGGCGCAATAAACGCCTGAAAAATCGTCTACGATCATAATCGTATATACAGGTTTGAGGTAAAAATTGTCCCCCTGGTGAGATTTCACTCATCATCTTCAACGATCAATTTAATAATTTAAAAAAAAAAAAAAAAAACGAAAGTCTTTGTAATAACCGATGCCATTCTAGGCCCTATGCAATTCTTACCAATAGAATATTCAAAAGCAGTGTTGCAACTTGGCTCAAATAAAGAGGCTTACACAAGCTGACTTTTCCGCGTAGAACCGAAATTTTGGGTAAAAATTTAAAACAATGGTCTATGTATGGTTGTAATACCTTATATCACCGTAAAAACTTGTGAATTTTATTTTCTTGTCAAAATGCATAATCTCACCAAATTTGAATTTTTAGAAAATTTTGTGAAAGGTGAATTTGCAGTGAAATGTCTGAAATATTTTATTTAATAGCCTATTTAGAGTTTCACGTCATTACCCTAGCATAAAGGCATGGCTCCCATACAAACAATCAATTTCAAAGAAACTGTATCAAAAATTGATTGTTACGTCGGATTCTTTTTTGCGTCCCAAAAAAGCCCCTTTACATATTACAATCTTTGATTTACATCTCTGTGGAAAGAGTTATCGATTTGACACATATTTGCATACTACATTTCTTATAGCATAGTACACCATGAATACATCGATGAAGGTATATCGCTCAAAAACAATAACAGCCTATTCCTTGCAACCCCCAATCATCTTGTAAATCAGATTTGGATTTGCTTTTCATTAAGAAAAGTTATACTGCTAACAAATTTCTGTGTACAGTATCACAGGACGGTAGTTCGCGCGAGTGACGAAACCACATTAGTGTGTTGAAAAGTCGACTTGCTATATATGATATCTAATCTAAACGACTATATCTTTGATATTTCATGAAAAAATTCAATTCTAGTGAAAAAAAGTTTTTTTTTTTTTTTTCTTCGCTCTCTATTTGGATACTTTAATTTTGCT